TTTTATAGGACAGAGGTTATGTGTATCCGATAAATTCAATATTGCTGGACCAGGAACTTACGAACAACAAGGCTATATCTATTCGAAATTAGCTGGTGTAATAAAGTTGATACAAAAAGAAAATGTAAGTAAGAAATTAAAACAATTTAAATAACAAAATAAGTTAGATATTGATGTATTTTATTATAAAAATGTTTGCTATAATTGTTAATTGTTAACTGCATTAAATATTGTCTAATATTGAAATTGATCATATAAATAATATTTTTAATTTTAGATTCGTACAATAGAAGTCCATGGAATAACAGAACAAAGTATTGTTCCTGCGCCTGGTGACATTGTTACAGCCATGGTTACTATCGTCAATCAAAGATTTTGTAAATGTAGTATAAAATGTATAGGTGATATTGTATTGACAAGACCTTACAGAGGAATTTTAAGGAAAGAAGATGTTCGCGCAATAGATAAAGACAATATTCAAATGTACAAAAGTTTTAGACCTGGGGATATTATTCTTGCAAGAGTTGTATCCTTCATTCTATCTGAAAAAAAGTCACGTTATTGTTCATGAAAGTATAAATTTTAAATAATTTCCTATGCATTAATTAGATGCCAATGACAGAAGCACATACTTATCAATTAAGTACAGCAGAAAATGAATTAGGAGTAGTGATAGCACATAGTGAGGAAGGTAAGTAACCGAAGATAAAATTATTTTCTATTCTTAATAACCTTTCTGTTACAGGTGTAGCTATGATACCTATTAATTGGACACAAATGCAATGTCCCAAAACATTGCGAAAAGAATTTAGAAAAGTAGCAAAAGTAGTACCAGAACATATTGTTGCAGAACAATAACATAAATACCAATTTGATTTCAATTATTATCTCTGTTATTATATTTACTGTTTACTAAAAGAAAATAAAAAGAATATATTTATATTACATAACTGATAATTAATCTCAAAATGTTTATGATAAGAAACATTATATAGTAATCAAGAATCAAATTGAATAATGGTGAATAAAAAATAATCATGGTATATAGAAAAGTATTTTATTACTTGCTCGAACTTGCCCGAAAATGTTTGATTTGAAATCGTGAAAGTAATAAAAATTATGGATAAAGATTGAAAAGTAAATTTCGTAAACTTTAAAAGACCGATAAAAAAAAATTACTACACGATATTATGTGTGAAACTTACTTTTATTTCTTCTTTGAAAAATTAACTTTCTACTTAAAAAGCCGATATAAATTTAATAAATTGCTACGCATGAAAAACTGTAAGTATGAAAAACTTATTTTAACTTTTTTTTTGAAAGATTTCTCGTGTTAAAAAATCGATAAAAATTTAATAAGTTACTATACGATATTATATGTAAAATCTATTTCAATTGTTTCTATATATAATAGGTTGATGCTTCTATTATCCATTGTCGTCCATCGATGAAACTTAAAACTAATTTAATCTATAATATCCGAAATTAAAACTAAAACGCTTGTATGATAACTGCGATATCCCATGATGTTCCCCGAGAGTGCCTAATAGTTTATTTATTATCTAAGAGCAGTCCAGTTCAAATAACGAAAAGATTGCGAAGAGAATTTTGTATAGTCATTTTTATAAAAATTTTACTTAATGAATAAAAAAAACTAGGGGAGGAAAATTTTTATTTCTTCTTTCAATTTATGCAAGATACGAAATGCGCGCGCAATATTTTTAACTTTAGTAAAGATTGTAGCGCCAATGAAGCGCCAATGAAATTCCACAATTACGTATCGCAATTTTCAAACATAATCGATGTTTCTTGCAATCGATCTAATCGATCTAATATTGGGATGTAACGTAAAACAGTTAGTTTTAGGCGGAAACGTGACATGACAAGAACGTGACTAGGTAGCAAGAAGCTGCTTATTCAGAAATTGTCAAGTGAAGACTAACGGTAGGACTCATTTTTCCATTATCGAATACATCTACAATTTAAAACAATAAGCTCATTATTTAAAAGAACTATGACATATATATATTCGATTGTGATTTGTTACAGGCATTTCCCATCGGATTTAACGGTTTTTATTTATTAATGATATTTGGAATAATTTCCTCTGGACCACGATTATATATTATATGCCACTCTTCGTATTTAATTGTATTTAACTGTAAGTTGCATGTTTTTTATTTTTCTGATCATTTAATTAATTACTCAAATTATCATGACTCAAGATATAACATATTATATTATTATCATAAATTCATACACATATTAATTTAAATGAATAATAAAATAAATTTCGTCTAATATGAAGATAAATTAATAAAAATTAAAATGATGCACCATTTATATGAATTAATCGAATTATTTATTATTTATTCTGAATTAATATCTTTTATAATATGAGAAATTCTTTTGAAAGTTAAATTAATATTTGGACAATAACGTATGGATAAAATAATCCTGAAATAATTATTTAAATTAATAAAAATATTCCTAATACTGATCCAAATTTCACATATAATTAATATTTATTAATATACATATAATAAATATAATATTAATATTATAATATTTTCGTACTTTCTAAAGAATTTCTCCTGAATTTTAGAAATCTGTGCAATTAATGTGCTTAATATTTAAGTTTTAGAAAATAATCATAACGAACATTCAGAATACAATTTCAGAATACAATAATTCTTTTATTTACAGTATTCGCAATCAGTATTAAGAAATATTTTATAACCTATAATTAATATCTTTAATGCTATATTCAAGTTTCTTTATAATCATGTTCTGGATAGCAGTATTTTTTAAATGAACGTTTCTTTCATTATCATATTTCCTCCAGTTTCCTTCATATTCCTACTAATCAGCTTTATTTTCAGAAAACTTTTGTGACCGCGCGCAATGCGGTCGGTAAAGTCAGTGTTTGTTGCGCAATATTTCAATACCTTTCTGAGCAAAATGGCTCTATTAAATTAAATTATTAATTCATTTAAATTGTAATTCGTGAATTTAGAGTCAGTGAGTCCGTCGATTGCTACTTAAACGTGCGCGTTGATAGTCTTTTATTTTTTTTTTTTGTATTTTTTCTTGTTCAATATTTGTTTTCGGTATTAATGTCAGTGCTCAAGAAGATAAGATCAGGAGATCCAGATTGTAAGTAGTTTTGTATATTGTACCTTAAATTATTTAATTTTTCAAGTTTAACAATAAAATATAATGTTTAACGTTTGTTACAGATACTTTACAGCATCAATTTTTTTGCATTCTTTGGGGAAAATCCAACGGTGGAACAAAGAATGTAAGAATCTTTCATTATTTCCAATTTAAGATTTTGCTTTCCTTTTAAATACAATATTCTAATGTTTAATGTTTTGTTACAGATCTTCTACAGCCTTCATTTCCCCTAATCCTCAAAGAATCTTGCGACGCTTCAAAAGCTAAAAATGTAAGTACTTTAGCATGTATTTAGATTATATTTTTTTATAGTTCTTTTTCTATTAAAGTAATCGAATGTAAAATTATAATTATAAAATAGAAATACTTCAAATTATTAGTCCCAATTTTTATCATTATTGAAATTTAAATTTTTGCAAATAATACTGTGTTGTTAGAAACAAAATGTTTTTATGTTTTTCAAGAAATTTTCATGGCGTTTACTTCCACCATGGGATTCTCAGTGACTTATCTACTTGATAAGGATCTTCACAATAACTTTCTCTGCTTCAATGCAGCATCGGTGATAACGTTCTTCGTATCTATATCGTAAGTCGCATGCATTTATGTTGCTCCGGTCAT